TAATCAACAGATCATACGTACGATTATATCCGACAAATGGTAGGGAAATAACATGAAGTGCTGTCGACTATATCGCAACACTTCTTCGTAATAAGTCTTCGCACTCTTCTCGATGTGTCTCACTATGAGATCAATTGACAGACTATTAGTCAACACCATTACAGACAACACAGTCATGCAATTCATACCTAAGTTCTTGCGATATCTCATCTGATTCTTGACACTAAACTCGAGGACTTTTTTATCGTATTCATCGCTGTTTCCAATACTCTGTTCAATACATTTGACATGAAATTAGCGCTTATTGTGCCATAAATGACAATCACTTGTAATGCAAACCTGTTTGACATGATCTGGTAGTTTGGTCCACGAGATGTTCTTGCTGATCAGTTGGTTCACTTCATTTGAATCCATTTGTGGTGATTGTAATTGTCTTCAGATTTCAATTCACACTCAAATCAATCCAAATGTTGACATCAATGTGTCATTCAGTAAACACGTGACTAATAAAGCATTACTTTTACAGTCGATCCAAGTTTTATCATAATTGCAAACATTTTGTCCACTTTTGGCACTCATTTATGAACTAAATTATCAATTCATTCACGAAATACTTTTTATATCATTATTTAATAATAGCAACAATTTATTTAATAAAATATAATGTAAATGTACGTTATTTTATTGTTATGTTTAAAAAGATTACATTAAATAGCAAAATTAGCATTGTAAGATTTTAAAATCTAAAAAGTTAACAAAGATATTAGATAATTGTCACACAGTTAATGTACTGTCACAAATCAGTCATTAATTATTGATAATTACTTTTAAAAGTGAACAAAATTAATACGGTATAACTACAGTATTAATGAAAATAATAATTAAAATATTGTCACCACTTATGAAATGAGTGAACAGGGGTTTGGGGGGGAGTTTAGGAAAGGGACTGTATTTGACATGAATTGCATCTTCTCGAGAGACACCGATCGCATAGTTTGCCATTTAGTGACCATTTAGTGTCCATTTAGTGTCTGACTGCAAATACAAGCCAATAGTGTGGACTGAATCCATGCATTTGTATGAATGTGTGTTTGAGACCCATGTCTGCAAAGGTCTGTCATTTATAATAGTTTTGTGTTGTATTGAGTGAAACGAAAGATAAGATAAGCTTTCGCGAGATATTGTTCACAATAAGTGAAACTCCAGTAACTTGTGATTCATGACAACTCTATTGTGTTTCCAGTTTAATGAGAGAGTGTTGTAATCGTTGGTCACAGAAATGCCTAAAATATACTCCGGGTCTCCGTTGGACAGCAGTTCCGTATGTATGCGACACACGATTCCAGTGACGGGTGCTATCAGTTGCTCGCTGACAGTGATCGGGGTCCTGTTCGGGGCCTACAAGTGGTACCATTGGCTCCCATTAGTGACGGCTGTATTGGTGCTTCTGGTGGCACTTCCCGCCTCCTATTACCTGACCATCAAATTACTCATCGTATTCGCTGTGGTCGATGGCCTCGACTTCATACTCAAGGTGTTTAATATCGGATCTCTCATCTACTATAAGGTGAAGATCAACGAAGACTGTTCTCCATTTGAGTTGGCCGGTGATGAGGAGTCGTGTCCGGACAACAACTGGAGGCTACTTCTGCTCAACATCACCAATGCCATCGTGTTCTACATATTCTCGGCAGTGATCGAGATCATTTTGTTCACATTCGCCATATATCTGGTCTATTCTGTGCGAAAGTATAAACCCTATTATGCGGACAATCGCTTCAATTCCAGCGATTCCTCGCAATTCTCCAAACCATCCGATATATAGCCACCGATTGATGCGACCATTCATTGAGTGCTCCTTTCATTTCACTTAATTTACATTTTTATTAAACTTTTAATATTTATTATGTAAGACTGTATTATATATCAAATATAAAACTGATATAACTTTTTAAATGTATTTCATTTCTAAACTACTGTATGTCTTTATAGATTCAATCATTGAATTTGAATGTGATTTTAAATAAAAATATTTTCACCTTTCTATCAGTTTGTTAGTATGGATTTACTATACCTGTTAACAGTAATATGACAGGTTTAGTACTGTTATAGGTTTAGGTGTATTAGATGTACTTCTCAACTCTTGTAACCATAGTGTATTATAAATGGCAATTCAGTACTAATACATTGAAAATGTTATATTCTTACGGAATAAAGCAAATTATAGCACATCATTACAAATTATAGCAAATGACTAATGTATATTAATAGTTTATTAAAGTTTGTAAAAGTTGTACTTTCTCATCTAGAGAACTCAACTAGAGAATTTACATATTGTATTACTGTGTATATGATTGTTTGTGATTTTTATGTCATTAGATTCCCTTTTACTGACGAATGTCGTGTGATTAGTGTTAACGTTAGAGTTGTGTCAATTCAGTGCCGCAATGTTTGTACTCTGAACGCAATCATTTCATTAAACCTTTAATCAATTGTTTCTATTGTTTAGTAAATTTATAAAACCTGGGATCAATACTAAGTTAAGTTTATACAGATACCTCTTTGGACAGTTATTCTACATTATATTTAAATATTTTCAAAAATTTAATGCAAAGGAAGAACTTTTATTAACATTTGATATATTAGTCTCTGGAACATTTTTCACAATATTTAACTAAATTGTCTTATAATGACTATTAATTTATAAGATATACTAAACATGAATGAACACTAGTGCTCACTGTCATACACTTCTATGTGAACTGCACTAACGGAAGAACACATAGAAAGACTTAAAGTGGACTTAATATTCTGGTCAATAACTTCTTATAGTCACCACTCGTATCATTTGCGATGTCATCCGTAAGTTTTCGACTGTATTTGCGTTTATAAATATCTTTAATATCTTCCAAATCAATCTGTTTTCAAATATATGAATCAAACATTTCAAACATCAACTCATTTGAAAAGAGTCCAACATTTTTCACCTCAGATCTTGAGATCAAAATTCTTGTCATTGATTCGTCGTCTGTTCCGATGCCATGAATACAAGAATGAAGACGTATTGCATAATAGTGTGCAAAACTGTTAGCACTCAGCACTAGCATTAAAAATTGAATTAACTTATTAATTATAAACTAGGTCAATTGGAAGATTTTCACTAAATTTAAGAGATACTAAATACAAGATATTAGACAATATATAATACTATTATTAATAGTACACATAAATGTAATAAATAGTGTATAAGGTGTGTAATAGTGTATAAAATAAAAGGCATTATATTACAGACCGATTGCATTGAAAATAGCGAAGAGATCTCCACTAAACTCTTTAGCGATGGCTGTTTCCATTGAATGTCCGGTCAGTCTGTCGTAGTGTTTGAATATATCCTTGAGTTGTATGAAACTATGGCTGCAAAGTATGCGCAAGAATTCATCCTCATCGGTGCCAATCATTTTGACGCCTGACTATCAATGAGACAATTGTTAAGGTTTTCAAAGTCTACCACTACTTAGTCAACGAATACTTGGGACAAGACTTTAGCCTCTTTTACACTTAGGTCTGAATCGACAGCATTGGACTCATTGCGGTTTGCATTGACCAGAGATCGGAGCACTCTTTGAAAATCTCCCGAAAACTTATTGCAAATCAAATTTTCCAAATTCTCGTTGTATTCTAAAGGAAATACTATTTTATGAATTCACATATAAATTATGATAACATTTATTACTTTCTAAAAATTTCTCTTTTATTGCTTTTATGTCCCAATTATGACAAGTCGTAAGTATATCGATAATACAATTCACATTCAGTTCCTTC